TTACACACGGACGACTAAGCAGCGGTGACAATGAGAGAACGACAGAATATCAACTTCATGCCGTCATGGATTCGGCCTCTGGCGGTACAGTCTCTGACATGGGTATGGCAACGCACCGAGTCACGGGAAAGCGCCACACGATAGCTCCGGCAAAACGTCAGCTGACGGGCAAAACATCAGCTGACTGGCAAAACATCAGCTGACTTAGGACGCGCGGCAGAGGCGATCGCATGATCACAACTGCGGGGAGTGGCCTGGCGGCTCGGCACGCTTGCCGGTGAGAGGGATGGGTTTAGTTATTGGCTGCTGATCCAATCTTACCTTCCCAAGTTTGAACGTCCGGCAAAGTTGGGTTTAATCGCATGCACTGCGCTCGAATTAACGTGCAACTTTCACAATTTGTTGGTGCATGACCCGGGCTCCAGGCCCTGTCCCAAGACTATGTTTAGAGCATTCACTCAGAAAACGCGCAATTTTACCGAGCCCTCACGCATTCCAGCTGACGAACGCCAGAGATCTCGCGCGATCTAGAACATCTTACACTACAGATCTAACAGCCGTACGGACTTCAGAAAACAGATGCTCATCTACACAGTGAAAACGACACCTGTGAACATTGCAGCAGTTATCCACACTGCACCACCACTATCACCACCATCAATAATTGCCTCCCCCGCCCCGACACCTTGATCCGCCCTTGCCTTCCCCACCACAAACCTCGATCTGCCTTTACCCCTTCTCAGACACCTTGGTCCGCCCTTGCCTCCCCGCCCACATACCTCGATTTGCTCTTGACCCCACTCAGACACCTTGATCACCCTTGCCTCCCCCTCCCGTAGCACCTCGATCCGCCCTTGCCTTCCCCTCTCGGCAGCACCTCGCCCCGCCCTGCCCAAGTCCTGTCATCACACTGGGCACTCATGCAGCGGCCGGTCACAAAAAGCCGTGAAATCGCCCGCGGCTTTCATCGTCACGACACCATGGGAGGGGGGGGGGAGGCTGAGAGAGGGGCTGGGGGAGCGGGGTCGACAGTCACGTCGTCGTGAGTGACGGCCTGACGTCACGCACTGTCCGTGACGAGGCGCGACGGGCTGCGGAGGAAGGGGCAGGGGTCACGTGGTGCAGACGCGACGAACGGAGGGTCTGGAAGCTCTGTGATCTGGAGCACAAACGTTGGTATTGGAAACACCGTCTTACTTCCCTCCCCGTGTCAGGACAGACAGCATGGAAAATCATGGAGCCTGATGCCAGAGCTATGGATACCATGGGATGCATTGCGCTGTATCGGAATCAAGGCGAATTCAATACAGAGCGGGCTCATGCCAGTGTCTGACCGCTGCTACATCAAAAGTAAGAGAAGGCCATTGGAAGCTTTCCTTGGGTCTCTAGTCGGAACCTCACTTAAACACGAAGATCATTGGATAAGACAAGGCGAAACCCCAGGAAAGTGCACTATAGTTCGGTGTAATTACTACGATCTTTGATCATGGTTCAAGACAAGACGCTTGTCTCAGTTGATTGACTATTGCTTTGTCTCAGATGCATGTTTTTCTCCTTTCCATAAACTCAATCATCAGCCGACGAGAGACCAATTTTAAATCACAGAACTGGTCGGTTGGCAAGGCAGTATGTATGGACGCCTCAACAACTGCCTCGGAAAGCAAATGCCAAAAACCGCAGAACGTGGATAGCGTGGGATACGGAGCCAGATTACAATGTGCCCACATTCAAACCTGAAGCAAGCCTGTGATCAAAGCATGCCAGTCATGAAGGGAGAATGGCGCTGTTCAGGAGAATGGCGGGATCATGACTGGCACAATTAGCTTGACTGGCTCGAGTTTCGAATAAGGATACTATTCGAATTTGACAATGCTTAAAAGAGGGCTCACGCCTGACGACATCTCCTGTTTGGAGTGCTGACTGACGTCTTATAGGCGCCCCAGCTCTTTAAAAACACGCGAGACCGTGCGAAACAAACCCCGCGTTTCACCACAAAACCGAAGTGACGCGCGTTTTCATTCGGCACGCGGAATGCCATTTCTAAAGCTCCTCAGCTCTTTAAAAAGGTGCAAGAACCTGCGATAGAATTCCGCGTTTCACCACAACGCCCTAAGCGATGCGCGTGTCATCCGCGCGCGGTGTTATCCCTTCCGCTGGC